CCTCTCTCTTTCTCCCCCCTCTGTATCTCTCTGTCTCTCTCCCCCCATGTCTCTCTCTCCCCCTCTCTATCTCTATGTCTCTCTCCCCCCTCTCTCTGTATCTCTCTGTCTCTCTCTCTCTCCCACCCTCTCTCTCTGTATGTTTCTCTCTCCCCCGTCTCTCTGTATTTCTCTATGTCTCTCTCTCCCTCTCTCTCTGTTTATCTCTGCCTCTGGCCTGGCCTCTTCTGCATCCCCCGCCACCGCCCTTACCTTTTCAGGCCAGGCCTTCGCAGCTCTCCACACCACAGCAGAAACTCGGGGGGCCCCTCCGTCCTCCCTACACAGATGTTCTTTGGGGGCTCATCGGGGAGACGCATGGCAGGGCAGGGCAGGGAAGGAAAGGGAGGGAGGGAGGGGGTGCGGCGGGGGTTCGAGGCTGGTTTGGGACTTCCCGCCCGAAGGAAGAAAGCGGCAAAGCCAGGAGTCACGCATACCCCACTGGACCCTGCTGTGCAGTTCTCCTCCCCTGCCTGCCAAGGGCAGGGGAATGATTAAATCCCCCGCTTTTCCAGGCAAAACGAAGAAGGGCCGCCCATCCTCCCTCCTGCCCGTTTCCACCTCCCGAAGCCTCCCCGGAGCCTCTTTTCTGCCAGAGGCCGAAATTTTCGTGTAGGCTCTGTGAACTGCCAGAGCGCCCACCTGGGAATCAAAGGAGGTGCTGGTCAAAGGCAGCCCCAAGGCTCCAGTTGCCTCCATCTCACGCTCACCGACCAGATTCCCATAGCACCGGTTAGCGGCTGGTCTTTCTGACCTCGGGGCCCGTGTTAGCGCTGGGCCAGGCACGATTTGGGCCAGACGAGGGATGGAGGGTTCCCGCTCAGCGGACCCAGGCAGCCTCATTGCCAGGTGTTCTTTGGAGGGAGCCCCGAGAGCAGCTGGCGAGGGGGATGGGCAGCAGCAGCGGGTGAGGATAGTTCGAGGGGTGGCCAGGGGAGGGGGAGGTCAGAGCCAGGCTCGGGCAGGCCCCGCCCAGCCCTAGAAGCGCCGGCTGCAAGGGCTTCCTGGCGGGGAGCCAGCTGCTTACCTGCCGAGCCTGGTGGCAGGATATGGCCCTCGGGCGTCTCTGCCTTCCAAATGCGCAGTTTCTTGGAAGCAATATGGAGAGTCTAAATATAAGGAGCAGAAATCTGTTGAGCGTACTCAGGGCTGGGAGGCTGCAATGTTGGTTTTATGTCAACAGCAGATGGCGCTGTTTTTCAATGTTTGTCAATGTCTTTCAATGTTTTCCAATGTTTTTCATGTTTTTACCTGTCACAGGTGTGACATGTATATAATATAGGTATATAGAAACATGCCTGTAGTCAAATGCAATGTTGTGTCAAAATTTGAAAGCAATCGGTGAAGAACTTTCGGAGATGTGCGGTTATGTACAAACGGACATTTACATTTTTATTTATATAGATTTATTTATTAGTTCAATTTATATGCCGCCCTCCTCTGAAGACTCAGGGCGGCTTACAATGCACTTATAGCAATAGCCTTCATTCTTTTGTATATACCTGCTTATTAGGGCTTTTGGCCCCCCCATAAGCGGTGTTTCTACAAAATCAGCTTATTGCCTCCACAATCCGGGTCCTCAATTTACCTACCTCGGAAGGATGGAAGGCTGAGTCAACCTTGAGCCTGGTGAGATTTGAACTCGCACTAATTGCAGGCAGCTGGCAGCTAAATGCTACATAACAGCACTTAGTCCGCTGCACCACCAAGGCTCTATATACAGGCTATATACAGGTCTGTATATGGGTATACAGAGACAAAATCTGAATTCACATCTGAATCAAGATCAAATCAAACTACAGTCTAACCTTCCTCTAAATAATACGTTCCATTTTAAATATTCTTATTACCTGTTGTGATGTCCTAAAGTTTTTATCCTAAGTTTCTGTGCAAAAATGTAATGCCTTATAACTACGCTTAAAGTTGCAGCCAATGTTGGACTGAATACCACAAGATTTATTTCTACTAAATCTCCAAAGGACCACTGTAATGATGTTAACAAACTCAACTTCATTCTCCACCAACACTCAAATAAAGGATATGTTTTCATTGTAAGGAGATGCTGAAACAACTTGTAATTATCATCTGCAATAAAGCTTAGAAATAAGAAGCCTAACCTATGATTCTTACCTTTAAACAATGAAAAATATTTCCAACCTTAAAATGTATTACATTTCTTCTTCCCTCCTTCCACCTCTCTTATCTTTACAATCTTGACTCTTTAACATCAGCCAAAGGGCTAGATTTATCAGTAAAGACACTGTCAGCTCCTGCACTGTTACCTCTAGAAAATAAATTATATACAATAATGCATGTCTCTGTTTCTTTTCCTAAATATATTTACCTAATAATTTGAAAGAATTAAGTAGCAGTAAGTAAGTAGGACAACAACTAGAAATGATTCCCCCATATAAAGGAGTTAAATATTGTTGCCCTACCTAAAAATAAATAAAAATCACTCTGAATCAAATCAAAGATTTATGTAGCCCAGCATTCTATCTTCACAAAATGCTCTGGAAGAGCCCACAAATAGAACATGCTGCCAACAACATTATCCCCATTTCAATCTTTCTAGTACTGAAAATAAAATCTCTATCTCTCATACTAGGTAGGTAGCTTACCAAACTTTTTATGAGAAGCTATGCCTTACATCTTGTAATAGCAAATTCTACTTCAATCATGTGCTGTTTGAAGCAGTACTTCCTTCATTTGACTAGAATTTCTCCCAATTCAGTTTCACTGGATGATCCCAAAGTTCTAATATTATGTAGTGGACACCATACTTTGCCAAACACCAAACTGACTTTTATTGACCTATTACAACACTCTGCTGGGCCCAATGTTGACTCTGCATTAGAATGAATACTGACACCCTATCTCTGAGATATTGCTTTCCAACACTGCATCTATCACCATATAGTGAGTCTAACAGTTTCTATGAGAAAAGGACTTAAGTAATTGGAACAAGTCACCAAATCGTCTAAAAATATGTATTCCCCAATTTTTCATAATGAGTATGTATTGTATGTAAGGTCTAAGGATTTTGCAAATTCATCTATCAGCCTTCTTGCTGTTTCCTTAACATCAAGCTGAAAGGCATGCAGAAATTTCATTCCACTCTGCCATGTCTTAAATCGGGGGTCCCCAAACTTGGCAGCTTTAAGACTTGTGGACTTCAACTCCCAGAATTCTCCAGCCAGCATAGCATAGCTGGCTGGAGAATTCTGACAGTTGAAGTCCACAAGTCTTAAAGCGGCCAACTTTGAAGACCTCTGTCTTAAATCCTATTTGTTTAAATTATCTTTTCTCCTAACTGCCAGAAGATTTGCAAGGAACATGTAATAGTGCTAGAGTAGAAACAGTTCTGTTTTTGCTTATGCACAAGTAAACTATTGGGGTTCAGCATCTAGGCTTCTTTTAGATAAAATATGGATATGCAGATTCCATATTATTTCAAAGTTTAGTGCAAGCACCATACATACAACAATAAAGGTTAGCAATATTATGTCAGCCCCAAGGCCATCTAGATTATAACTTGAATACTACTATCAATTCAATATGCGACTTTTATTTAACCCTTGATAATACTATCATTGTAAATCTCATTTTAATACTATATCAATATTCAGGACCATGGCCTGAGTAACCAGTAGTCTCTAATGTTCAAAATTAGTTAATATATAATAATCTCCAGGCAAGCATGTTTCTAATATGACAAGGTTTCTCTAAATGAATAAATCAAGATACAAGGAACTGCCTTCCAACCATACTCAATATACATTTCACCCATTAAGCAATTTCTTCAGTGTAAAAACTATGTTCAGATTCAAGGATATTAAACAGAATTGCTGACAATGCTCTTCATTATTTTCCCCAAGGGCTGCATATATTAAAAGCATAAAAATATGGGGCCATTTACTTCAAATCTAGAAATGGTGTAGCAAATTCAGCAAAGCATGAGGCTTGGTTAAGAAGGCCCCTCTGTATAATCTGGCAGCAATGCCAACACACACTTATTTAAGTTACAAACTCCATTTTATCACCAACCAATCCTGTTCTTCTACTTGAGTGAAATAGTCTGGGAACTGGAAAAACCTGCAACCTCAGCCAAGTACAGGGATGCTACTCTTATTTACAAGGGGAAAAAAAACAAGAGAGAAGTGAGGGGAAAGGGTCTGAGACTTATAGAAATGGTTGCAAGAATAGATTGACAACATGAACTGGAGCTCTCTCCAGACAAACAGTGCTACTCATTACACTTTGTGATTTCTATACTGCACACTTCTGAGGTGGATTTCTTTTTAGGATACCAGGAACCTGCCTTTCCTGTTTGAAAGTCATCAAGATCTCTAGAAGTTGCAGTCAAACCCTACCTCGTTGTCTATTGGCCAGCCATTTCATTCAGCCCCCTGATGAACTGCACACCTCCATTGGGAACTTCTAAAATATGTTCCTGGTTTTCCAGTCCCATTCCTCCAAAACAGAGTACCCACATCCAAAAGCCTCCCCGTACAAAGTTATATTCTCTGCACTTCCTGTATTTCACTTCCCTCTCCACAATCCAATTTACAACTATCTTCTGAGAGCAGAACTTGCATCTCTACCCATCAATTCAAGAGGATGAAAGGAAACTAAAATGCGTAAGGTGGGAAATAGCAAGTTCTTTACCCAAAGATCACTTTCACACACAAACACAAAGATAAACACACACACAGATCACACACATATATCTATATCCAATCCAAACCCATTAATCCAAAATCTTCCAGCATTGGCTTGAAGCCTCTCTTGCCTTTCTCTCTTGCATAGCTAGTTACAAATCCTCACATGGATCTGGCACCAACTACTACAGCAGCAAGAGATCCATTCGCTGGGGAGAAGCCACTGGAAAGTGCCTCCGCCACCACCGACCAATTCCAAGCACCCTGGGACTCCGCATCCATCCCAACCCAGAGGCTTACCTGAGGAGAACTGCCGGAGCGGTGCAGATGTGGTGGGGCAGGGAAAAGGTGGGAGAACGCAGGACGGAAACTCAGAACATCTCTGTTCCGCGGGCGCCTTACTCCAATCCAGCCATGGGGAGGGGGGGGAGAGAAAAGTTCAAAATGAAAATAATAACAGAGAAAAGCCGAGTTGCAACCGGACGAGGCAGGAGCGGAGCGAGGGGGCCGCCGAGAGGCCTAGCTGTGCGAATGGCAGCCGGAGGAAACAGGAAGGCTTCGGTGGAAAGGAGGAAGCCCGTCCTTTGTTTGCCAGGTTTTCCCTGAACAATGGCTGCTGCTGCTGCTGCTGTCTCAGGCCCTCTGTTGGGGTATGGAGGAGGCTCCTGCTATTGCACATTCGCTCGCTCTCGCGTACACGCGCACACAAACACACACACCTCCCAGTGCCTCTCAGAAAGAGGCCCAGAAGCTATCCAAGGAGGGGGACCTTCTTCCCTCCTCCCATTTCTCTCCCCCGCTCCAGGAGCTGCTCTGATCGCGGGAACGAGGGAGGGATCTGCTATGCCAAGGCTGAGAGAAAAACAAAAGGGAGAGGCAGAGTCCGGCAGAAAGAGGAGGTAAATCCCCAAGGCGGAAGGGAGACAACGCAGCGGAAAGACCAGAGGAGAGAAGGCAAGGGCAGGAGCTGATGCCAGCCCTTGAAAAGGAAAAAGCTTCCTGTTGTAAAAGTACGCACAGCTGCCTTGCAAAACAGATCTCGCAACTAGAAGAGCCCCCCCCCCCAACCTTGGAAGAAACTCTCGGGCTGTTCCCTCTCTTCCCCACCCCCAAAAAACCGTGATCCAAGAAGGATGGGAAAGCTTCAGAGTGCGTGTTATATTTTGGGAGTCTGAAAATGGGAGGAAGGAAACAGAACTTTGTCATATCTGGGTGCTCTCTTATATATCTGCATGAAATAAAGCCAGTATTGCCTCAGTTACAAGGGTGTGGAAGAGTGAGATGTATTTGTTCAAGGCCACAATTGTACTAGGAAAAAAACCCCACCGCAATCAGAAGAATAGGTACTAGCAAGCAAATCTGTCTGAATTTAATGGGAATTACTTCTAAGTAAATATACTGCTCAAAAAAATAAAGGGAACACAAGCAGAAGACATCCGAGATCTGAATGAATGAAATAGCCTTATTAAATACTTTGTTCTTTACATACAGTAGTTTATACACTGCTCAAACAACTAAAGGGAACACAAAACTACTGTATGTAACAAACAAAATATTTAATAAGGCTATTTCATTCATTCAGATCTCGGATATCTTCTGCTTGTGTTCCCTTTATTTTTTTGAGCAGTGTATAATGAAAGCCTGGTTGAAATTAGTATGGTCATTACCAATATTAAAATAGAAAGCTAATTCTTAAATATGAGGTCTTATATAGCTTATATAGCTCTGCCTTCCAATAAAGGGCAAGGAATATAGAAGAAACTACCTCAACAGATAAGATCCCTGCTATTTCCACCAAATCTGATATGTATCCTGAGATTATTGCTGTATGCTATTTAGTGGTAGGGTTTGCCCTGTTCTAGACTCAACTTTGCAGTTGACTTTTAGAACTAGAAGTTGAGTTGCCAATTTTCATACATATCACTAATAGGAGACGCCAACAACTGCCTTTCCCAATATGGTGTCCTCAGATTATTTTTAGACTACAATTTGTAGATTTCCTATTCAACCTGTAATGATGCAGAAATACAACAGATGAAATATGGGATTACTACAATGGTTAAAGCTTCTGCTTTTGAATTTTTATATTTAATATAGATGCCAACAAGATAGGGCCACTGTCAATAAGCAACAGTGTGATTCACTTAATAACTGCAGTGATTCACTTAACAACTGTGGCAAAAAAGGTTGTAAAATGAGGCACAACTCACTTAACAACTGCAACTGAAACTTTAGGCTCAGTTGTGGACATACGTCAACCTGCATATATATTTATGTATGTGAGCATAGACGGATTACTTTTTCCTGTTAAATATCCTGAAGACATTAAGGCAAGATGAGAACACATAAACTTGTAGGTTATGATATTGTTTACTTCTTGATTGGTGATCTAGTCTTAATCTTGGAGAGCAACAATCAAAAACAATCTAGTAAACAAGAAACCACTAACTCAAACAAACAATCTAATAGTAAACAACAGCCTAACCAAGGAACCACCAAAACAACTTCCACCAACAGTGACAGGGCAAGCCATTAGTATATACAATAAGTGCAAACTCCACTCCTTTCTAGCACTGATGCTGTTACTTAGTTTGGTAATGAAAGACCTGTAAGAAAACAACCAAGTTCAGAAAGCATCAAGGACCCCACAGATTTGCATCTGTTTTAAAATATTGTGAACTTTTTAAAAAAAATTAATGTATTTCTAGGTTTACTATAATAAAACAAACCACAGGCATCCAATGCAAATTAGGAAACAGTAAATGAAAAGATGTAACATGTAGTGATTTGAAAACAAAAGGCCCATCTTTTTATCCAACTGTCTAGACACAAATCATATGGTTTGAATAGCAGCAATGTGATGTAAGTTTTATCATTTGTCCTTGCTGCCCACCCACTCCCAAAGTATACCTATGAGGCAAATCTTTAAACTATGGACAGCAACAAGTCCTTAATTAGTTCAATGTAATGGAGACCAAACAGTTATCATATTCTCATCCACTGCTCGGTTTAGAAGTTAGCAAACGTGCTGTTTTAAATGCTAGCTCAAAAAACAACAAAACAAAAGAAGAAAACATAGTGCTGCTGGAAAATTTACTCCATGTATTCTGAGCAATTGCATTTGATTAAAACTAAAGGCCTGCATGTTTGTTTTCTTTTCCATGAAAGGATTTGGAGCTTGGAGTTTCTGTTCTGAAATACTATATCATACACACAAACATAATTTGGCCAGAGCACTACATGTCAAACTACCATTGGAACAAATAAGACTACGCTTTGGAACAATAGAACAACAAGCATGGTTCTAATTATCAGAACTAAGCTTCAGAACTCAGATCACAAAATTTTCCAAGACTCAGTTGGTTTCAATGAGTAATCACCAAATTTGGATCTGTAATATATAAAAATGCCTTAATATATAAAAATAGTCCTACTTGGTTGGGTGTCTAGGTTAATATTCCATGACAAGTACCAGTCTCAGATGCATCAGTTTAAGAAGAGGAAAATTCCATTTTTCTGCCTCCTTCTGGAGTCCTCTCCAAGTATGAATCAGATTTTTCTGGTATAGTGCCAAAAGTTAGTGTCATTTATTTTGGAGAGATAATGAAACAATTGTATAAATCCCCAGAACAGCTTTCACTTATTTTTTAAAATAAAACATATCATTCAAAACATCCGCATATGTGAAAAAAAAGATAAAATATGAAAACATACTGTAGACTACCTACTTTGTGTCATTATCCTGCAGACTCTACAGCAGGGGTGGCAAACTGGTGGGCCATGGGCCAGATGCATCACACAAGGACACACCCACCCCCGGCTCCGCAAAGGCAAAAATGTCACGATAATATGTCATGTAATACAATCGAGTTTGACACCCGTGCTCTACAGTCTCTGCACTGCACCTCCCAAAAGCACATCAACCCTAAGGAAAATCTAAAACATTGCATTCAAATATCTATCCCGTCTGTATTCATTTTAAAAATCTGATCCTCTCAACCTCAGACACCAACTAAATTCATACAACATGCTAACTCATATAATCATTGTTTGTTAAGCTATTTCCCTGGATTTGCAAAGTACACTGAGCCACAAACTAACAATTTTTTAGCTTAGCATGTTGTGAAAATCCACCATCTTAGGCAAATTAATCAAATTATGTTGCTTAATGACTGTTGAATCCTTTTTTTTTTGCAAACCCCCCCCCCAAACCCAACATTCTCAGTTCAAGTGCAACACAGAATTTTAGCATAGTAAACAAAGGCAGTATTTACACATTCCTCCAGTTGCTCCTATGCTACTAAATGAAATGCAAAACAGTGTATTTAAAAAAAAAAAACTAAAGTTAAGCTGACCCAAATTTAAAAGGCTAGCAACAGTCTTTTTACCAATTTGGGTTTGCAGAAAATACTTGTTACAAGTAGATGTATAGCAACAGGGTAAACTGTTCCTTCTGGCAGCAACAAAGAGATGGTGGATCTGTCATTTGGCATAACCAGCTGCTATGGCTGCAGTGATGATGACTGGGAAGTATGTTGGTCCAATTATGGTTCACTATGATAGCAGAGACATGAGTCATTATTCCCCAAATGCTGAGCGGCACACTTTGTGACAGAATGCTGAATAGCCATGGAAAACTCAAAAGGACTAGTTACAATCCAGTTTTTCAGATAAACCTAAAATTCACTAATGACAATACAAACCTTTACAATAACCTTTCTGAAGAAAATCCTTCTTCCCTCATGAACTAGCTGGAGACCTTCTAATTTTCCATAGTGATAAGTGCCAATGAGATAATTAAGGAAAACGAAATACCTGTCAGCATAGAGGTATTGATGATGAGTATTTCTTAATCTAGTACCTTTTCAAAATTCATGCTTCCTAATTAAAGTGAACATTTACAGTTCTTTGATGTAGATATTAGAAATTTGATACTGTATATATTGCAGAATGCTACAAAAAATATCCTGATATTGTATATATTGCAGAATGCTACAAAAAATACCCTTTCTCTCTCCTTTCCACATTTATGTTGCTATCATACTGAGAAGCATATCCAAGTTAACCTAAACACCAAAGTTGAGTTTCTAGAACTGATTACTATAAAATGAAATATTAAAACAAATTACAATACCTCCAATGCTAGAGTGCATGGCAATAAGGCCAAGCGCTAATTTCAGGGTTCAAAAAATATAAGACAGGGTCTTACTTTCAGGGAAACATGGTAGTTACTATGGCATTTCTAATTTGCAAACTATGTGATAGGTTTTATTGAATTTGCTATGAAAATAACCCTGTGAAACATTAATATTTTACACCAATAGAAATGAGCTTGAGTTTTTCTGATCAATGGTTTTGTGGCAGAGATGGGATGAATCAAGAGTCAATTCCACCCTAGATGCCACATGAAATAGTGTTGCAATATATTGTATACAAATGTATTTGTATATGTGCACATGTGCATGTGTATACATGTTTCTAGGAAATAAATGAAACAAATAGCTTCTCTGGCTATTAGAACTAGAAGTATAGTGATTCATGTTAATTTGGCATTGTGTAAAAGAGAATATGTACTGTATAAGCACCAGCATAGATCTTACTCTCTATCCTTTCTTCAATAGGGTGCCCTCCAGATGGCTGTTTTCAACTCCTTGTATTTTAAGCCTACAAAAATAAAGCCATTCTGGTTGAGAATTCTGAAAGTCAGAACCTAAAACAACCAGTTAGCAAACTGAGGAAAGCATTGTGAAGGCATCCTAGATATACAGCAGTCTTGAAGCTATGTAACTTAGGTGCAGACCCACTGAGATGCAGCAACTCCAGCTGATTCTGGCCATGCCCATGGTCA